TCGGTTTGTATCAATGATTTCCATTAACTAGTTCTAAATTACAATGTTTTAGCTCATGTCTCAATTCAAATTTTCAACAAGAAAATCAGAACTAAAACGAGAATCTAAGAGAAATAAATGAATATATGGAAATAAACGAGTAGCCACTAAATAAAGTAGTGAAGATGAAGAAATGAGAGGTTAAATATGTTTCTTGGTCATGCTCAATGATCTATTAAATAAGTTTGTACAAAAAAGTCTGCAAAATGAGGGCTGAATCTTACTAATAAGCCGGAAAAAAAAAATGCAAACTTGGTAATTTACCTTGGGAAAGGAATTGAAGGCTGAATAGCCGATAGAAACCGAAAAGTTGAAATATGTTTGAAAAAAATGGCCTTTTTTTTTTATTGACGGGTTGGGTTGGGTCGGGTTTGGTCGGGTTGGATGGATTAACCCACAACCCGACCCAACCTGACCCACTAAGCTTTGCCAGAACCCAACCCAGGAAAAAAAAAATGGAAAAAAACCGACCCAACCCGATCGGGTTGGTTTGGGTCGGTCGGGTTAGTCGGGTTGGTTCGGTTTTTGCCCACCCCTAGATTTACTGATTGTAAAAGACAATTCAATAGAGTCCTTAAGTAAGTGTTGAATAGACAAAAATTATTAGAAATATCAATATAATTAAAGATATGTACAAACGTTCCATCAGAATAATAGGCTTTAAGTTTGCTAAGAAAAAATAAAGTTGAGATTATTTTAAAGATCATGGGGGAATTGTTCACAGCTTTAACAATTTTGTGAGATGCCTTTTTCATTTTGTTAGCGGTTGTAGAAGTTGTATTTATAAATGCTTTACATATGTTGACTTGTTAAAAGTTATTTAGTGCCATTGTTATTAGTTAGCTTGCTACAACATTGTTAAATTTATAATTTTTATAATAAATTATTTACACAGTATTCAATTCAATGTCAACAGTTATGGAGACTGGTGGGTGAATATCAATTTAGTTGTATGTACTGAAAATGATATATTTAACGAAATTGATAATATATAATTATATAACGTTATCAAAATATGAAAACACATTGAGAACAATTATAATTGTTAGGTTTTTAGTTGTATTGACAATTTTCAGACAAGAGGATTAATATAAAAGAGCTGTAAAAGTCAAGAAGTCTTTGGGAGGTGTTGTATAGATAAATTATAAGCTTTTGAGTTCGAGTATGGAACAAGGAGAAAGAGTTGCGGATTTACGCTAACATGTCACCTAGCTGATGTTCAAGTGGAAAAAAACAGAATCATTGTTTCCCGCTTGTCGTCCGACTATCGCTCGAGTGACGCACCTGTCGCTAGCCTGGAGTTCGAGCGAAGGTATTACCGACAAAACCCTAGTTCACGATTTTCAAGAAGTCTACCTATTCTATACAATCCAAATACCAAATATTATAAATACCCAATGCCTATTAAGTTTTTAGTAGTGGTTGATCATTATATTACATTCTCATAACATCATTCCAAAATCCAAGAACATATCCAAACATTGAGATTAAACATTTGATTCTTGAGATCAATCAACCACAAGTTGGGAAAAATATTAAATTCATATAATTCAAAACACCCACTACCTAAATATAATTTGGAAGGTAATTTGTCAATAACTTTCAGTAGTTGCTGAAGATTGAGGGAAGTTGAACCGTAAGCACATGAAGAATACAAGAACAATGTGTTTCGATTCTTCTATATTCAGTTAGTATTTTTTTTTTTTTTACCAAACACCTAAAACAACTTTTTATTGTTTTGAGCATCAAAAATTGAGTTCCAAAATCAATTCCAAATGGAGCCTAGATTTCTAATGTATAACCAGGCATAGAGGTGTCAATCCGGGTGGTCTAGGTCGGGTCGACCCGCCAACATATGAGCCCGGTAACGGCCTGCTGAAAAAAAAAGCCCTCCCGCTACGGGTTTCGAGCCGGTTCCGGGTCGGCCCACAAATTTTGAACTACAACCCAGGCCCGCCCGTTGACTCATCCGAGGAGAGCCTATGTGGGCCACGGGTCGCGGTTTGCTCTGGTTTGGCTAGTATGATTGTATAAATAAAATTATAAAAATATAGAATTTTTCATATTTATAGAAAAAAATAATTTTTTTGTTAAATGTAAACTAAGAATTGAACAAAATGATAAATTCATATTTATACCAAGAAATGTTTACATAGAATTCAAATTTAATGTTATATGAATTATTTATAACTTTGCAAAGTTAAATTTAACTTAAACAAATAACAACTAAATGCATTTCTAATTACTATTATCAAATATTTATAGTATAAGTGCATCCCAACTAGGTTGGCAGTTGGCACCTATTTTTTTTCAAATTTTTTTAATTTTTTTTTCAAGGGCCAGCGAGTTAACCGTGGCCCGTGAGGTGCAACCCGTGAAGTCCGCGGGTCACACCTCCTTGACCCGTGAACCGCCCACTCAGGTCACGGGTCGGGCCGTGATCCCGGGTCGATCTGGGCCGGTTTTCACGGGTCTGGCCGACCCGTCCGTCTTGACACCTCTAACCAGGTATGTTGATTATGACATCCATTGTCCCTTTTGCGATGTATGGCATTGAGATTGGACTGCCTCTATTGGTTGATTTCTTGAATAGAGATGGAAAACATGCTTCATATTATTTAATTGAATAATCGACTTAACTCTCTTAGTACAAGAAAATCTCTACTTCAAATTATATTTTTGTAAAACAAAAAAAAAAAAAGCAGACACGAGATAGAAAATCAATATTTCACTAAGATTTCAAGTGAATTCAAGTTGATTTTATTTAACATTTCCAGAAATACAATCAAACAATTCGCAATTACAATCTTTGCAAATTAAACCATCCATATAATATAAAAAGAAACTAGATATAACCTTGAGGGATTGCTCAATTGGTCAGATCTTGGGTTTGCTCCCCAAATGTCACTAGTTTGAGTCTTTTCAGGGTCACTGGGGTGAGTACCGACCATAAACTTCAGGGCCCCGTGGGATTAGTTGAGGTACGCGCAAGTTGGCCCGAACATCCACGATTATAAAAAAAAAAGAAAAAGAAACTAGATATATTTTTGTATTTGAATAAGATTATACAAAATTCTCGAAAACAATAAGCAATACACATGAATTTGCCAAAAAGAAAGTAAAATCACAAATCAACATTTGGCTAACTAATTTGTTTATGAATTCAGACTAATGGCCTTTTCTCTTCGTCTTCGTTGGCTCCATTTTCTGGTGTCTTCACCTTTTTCGGATGATTTTTTCCCCGAGTACTGGATACGACAACTTGGTTAGGAGGTTTAGTATCAGGGACGATCTTCAGTATAATTCCCATTGCTATGAGTAACAATCCCAACCCATGTTGTTCAGTAAGAGGCTTCGTAAAAATTAAGTACGTGTTAAATTTTGGGGCTCCAATCACAATTTACCGGGCTCAGTTTCTCCAACAAACGACACCACAATCAACAACCAAAACCTCACACCTATCTTCCTAAACCTGTTGCTACTAAGGTGCCCACAAAGGGCAATGGGTGATGAATGATATAGGCACAATGATCAGCCACAAAGGCTTAGAAAATGGGAAGAGGATGGCACAAAGCCAAGGTAAAGCACAAAGCCAATCGACCTCTCTTCTCTCTTCTCTACACGGCTGCCTAACATTCACACACTCTATAACAACAGTAATGGGGCAACTAATATGGTAGCAATTATGGGCTTTTAGGTCAAAGAATAGTAAGGCCCAAAAGGTACCAAGTAAGTGGGCTAACAACCTTAAAGCCGTCCAAGAGTTTGGGCCGGGCCGGGCCTGAGCAACACTAACTAAATTAGGCTACTACCAATGACCCAAATATGTTGTAGTAATGGTTTGTTCGATTGTGGTGTCGACACTTCACTCATCGGCCGAGGGCCTAAGAAGTAATCCAAATACAAAATACGGTTTAACGTCATTGCCCGAATTTATTAGGTATCAAAACCCAACAGTACGACGACAACAAAGTCACAGCCTTTCGTGCTGTTGTAATCTGCAATAGCAAAGAAGTGCAAAACATGAAATAAAAGTCTGCGAACGAATTTTTCTGGAGAAGAATTGAGTACGATTGCATCCTAAAAACCCAAGGCCAGTCGAGGCGTAATTACCATAGCAGTGGTGGCAGCCCCAAAAATGGCAATGAGTGATAAAACAGAGTCTTGACCAATAAATATAGCCATTGCTTCAAAGACAAGCACCCCGTAAACATAAGGATGCTGCAAATGCAAATGCAAAAGCAACGAAATGATAAATTTAAAAGAACAAATATACATTGAGAAGCACAGAAACTTGATGTCACTGGAGGTCCCGGCAAACGTAGCTGTTTATTTCTTACTTAATAGCTCTAGTTAAAAAACAATCTTACTGATTAAGTAAGTTAACTGAGTCAATCTCCTTACCTCAGCACAAGAATTCCAAGCTTTAAACAACTCTCCGGTCAAAATCATTGGCGGTAACAGGAAAGGCAACCCAATCAACGTCGAGCAAAATAGCATCTCCATCTGAGAGAATAAGAGCTATGTAGATTAGCGGAAAAATGATATGCGTTGTCATCTAAAATATAAGCCGTAGAATATAATTATTAACACCTGAGTGGTATCGGGATTCATGGTGAAAATTGTTTCCTGCAAGTTACCGAGAAACGAATCCATGACTAGAGCGCCTAAAATCATCAAGACGCCAATGCCACTAAAGTTTGGAGAAGTGTTTGCATCTGCTAAGGTGAAAAGAATCAGCCCAACAACTAGAAGCACGGCTGATATGTATTCGTGAATGGGGTATTTTCTTCTCAAGCCAGGGATAAACTCGCTCATTATCATTACAGGTGGAACCTGTACTCCAACAACCAAATGAGCTCATCAATTTGACAAATTGCAGGTCTCACAAATTATAATATCGAAATCAAAATGCATTGTTCCAACTTCCAACTTGCAAGAAAGGATCAACTAGAAAAGGTCAAACCTCTCAAAGTGGCACATAAATTAATTAAGCCCTTATCGACCTATTCCAAAGACATAGTTTGAGTATGGTATACCTTTGTCAACTTGAACATATTCTGTGCTGGATAGTTAAGATAAGCCAAGGAACCCTTTGTTAATCCATGAGAACCCATTAGGACAACAGAGAGCTTGACCTATGTTTTCCATGGATTCACCTTTTGGTTAATGGTGAACCCCTGTAAGTATCTCAGTACCAAATACACAAAGCCTTGAACAAAGGTAGAATACCAGCCATAACTGCCAAAAAGTATAAAATTTTTAATTCAACGAGCCATTAGCATAATTAGTGCAATCATAAGCTATCGAAAAAAGGTGGAAGACCTGAATTGGAGCCTATTATATACATATTCCTGCAAGCAGATATAAAAAAATTCATGGTTAGTCAACTTTGCAGGTACATTATTCACAATTAACTAATTTTACAGATCTGAGCTTCATAGGAACTTTTGAATCAATAGAACAGTGACTAAAATTATAATTAATCCAGTGAAATGATCAACAAAGTACTACTATGCAAACCAAAAGTTTCGAATTTTGCCCCCAAAGAAGTACAGAAAATTTCAACATTTAAGAAACCTTTTTGAAACAATTCTATACTACCCCAAAATATAATGAACCCCCGGATGAAGAGACTTTTCTTCATCGCGAGACTGAATGAAGCAAATTAACAAACAACTAACAACAGGCAACGACGTACCAAGAATTCAATTCACACAATAAAACCAAAACACAAAGGATCCAATGACACAAGGAATCAAAATCCAATGACACAAGGAATCAAACAAAGACAACTGCAATTATATAAATAGATATACAATAAAAACTCAAACGAACATCGCAAATGCCATTGACAAGATAACCAAAGAAGAACCGGGAAGAGCATATGAGAAACTGTTGCCAAATTGGTCTATCACTATCAGTCAAAGAAATCCCAAACATTGACCTTGCTTGATCTTCCTTCTTCATTTCTGACGAACCGGTTGGAATCAAAACTGAAAACTTTATACAAAAAGAAATTGCATGGCCTTGCTTTATTGATTTTTTTAATAGAAGCAAAAAAATAGAAGGGAGTAAAAGAATACTTTTGAATGCACAATCTCTCTACTTCTTTCCCTGTATCTGAGAGAGGGATGAAAGCGTGTGAGTGCGTGTTTATGTGGAAAATCTGAATTCTTAAAAGTCAGTGAGGAATTGAGGGGAGAGAGATGGTGACAGAGAAAACAATTGAGTTTGATAAATATGTAAAAACTAAAAAGTATAAAGCAAGTAAATTGTAGCTGTTAATTTGGTCATTAAGAGATTAATTATAATATAATTATCAAAATCAGGCCATTGGGTTGAAGTCAAGAATCCTCTCTATCTCAAAAAGTGAAAAACAAAATAAATTTATCTAACTGGGGTCGGTTACAAGAACGACGCCACATGTTTGAAAAGGTTAACCAGCTTGTACAAATTTGAGTTAGATTATTTAAATGTAAGTCTATTTCAAACGTACACAACCCGATATATTAACACATGTACTCACACTAATCAACATACATAAATAGTGTACATGTACACAATATTTCCTATTCAATTATAGTTTGGCTTTTAGTCCAACACAATCTCTCTCTCTCTCTCTCTCTCTCTCTCTCTCTCTCT